GTGGCAGACCTGTGTTCAGCTCTTGCCTCTGCCTGAGGGAAACACTTCCTTTACATCTCAGCAGTGCCCTAACCATGGGGTCACCAAGTCTGGTGTGGAGATCTTCCAGCCTCCCTTACATTTGTGAAATTGTTTTGTACAGACATGCACCACCAACAGGACCAGAATCTGACTGTCAATTCTTATGAGTTGCCTAAGACTTGGGCTATAGTAATTTTGCCCTTAACTCAATGCTCATGACAACATTTTTTCTCTTTCTATAAAAGAAAGCAACTGGTTTGTGCATCTCACTTCTGAAGGTGGCTCAGATCTGTGAATTTGGAGATACATACTTTCCTGAACCCTTGACTTAGATGCCTAAGCGTCTCATAAATATATGAACTAAAATATTTAATAGCTTGCCATTTCTGCTACTTTTTACTGTAGTCTCTAATCCTGAGTCTCCACTAAGCATGCTCTCTTTTTTAAGTTCTCTTCTGAACTGCTTACCTCTTCAGGGAGCTTTAAAGTTGGATGAGCCTGAGTATTAATTTATGTATGTAACCTTCATATTAAAAAATTACAAGCTAACGTATATTTTTACCACAGAAGTTATACCAAGTTAGAATATACCAGGCTTGATCGTGATCTTGTATACAGTAATATAAATCAATAATAATTTTATCACAATAAAACTGATGCTAACATCAGAACAAAATCAGAAACATAACAGTCAGAACATAAATAAACATCAGAACAAAATCAGAAACATAACAGTCTATTTACACCATATGACAATGTCCAATCGCACTGGATTTTGCTCATGAACTTACAGGTACTTCAAAGTACTCAAGGTATAACATCTGAACTGTTAGAGCCTCATGTGATATTGTAATATTAGCGAAAGGAAAATCAAGACAGAATTGAACTTTCCACAGTAACTATACTTAACTACAGCAAAAGAGAAAACCAGAACAAGGAATGGCTAGAACATAACACCAAAAGGACACACTAGAGGATCCAAGTCTAAACTCTGTATCACACAAAATTATATTTCTGCTAAATATACAAATATGTACAGTGCAATAGCATTAAGTGTGTTGAATGGGAATGACAAGCTTCCCAACTGTAGACTGGAGATGCAGCCTGCTAGAACTGGCTTAACATAACTATCAAGTTGCACTCAAAAATCAAACAGTGAAGGAACAACATGAATGATATTTGCAGGCACTTTAATAGAGATTTATGACATCGGCTCTTTTAAACTAGGTCATCTCAAAATGCTAAATATTGTTAGCAGAAAAGCAAATTAAATACTTTAACATGATTAGACCAAATAAATCATTTTATGGGTTTTAAATGACTTAAAAATAATAGAGTTAGCTTCATTGTTCTGCTAATGTTCATTTTTAAACACAAGGCCAGGCTGTTTCACATTGTTTTGTGGGTAGCTAGAGTCTAGTGTATATTAGGGGACAAATAAAAATTCCTACAAACCCTTACAACTGCTTCAAAGAAAAAGGTGGGGTGCTCTCCCCTGCTCTGCAGGAGGAATTCCTGAATTCTCACCTTCAGAATGCACTTGACGGCCTATGAGCCCTTTACATCGCTGTAGCACCACAAGATGCCAAAGAGATGAAGCTTATTATTTGACACAAACTAGTATCTAATTGCAAATTGTAAGGATCTCGGTTTCTTAGCTATGTATGTCATTGCATGTACTATTGCTGAAATTGTATGTAAAAACAAAGCCAAAAGAATTCAATAGCTTATACAACAATCAGCTGTGCTCTTCTGAAATAGGAGTAACAATAGGTATTGTTGCTGCAAATTGTTTACTTCTTTTATATTCACATATATAGATAAAAGCAAATATTTATAATGTAGTCTATCCACTCCGAAATTTCCAGTTATTTAATAAAATCATTCATTGAACCAGACTGACAACGTTTTAGAATGTTACTGGCCACACATATTTCAACTGTGATAGACAGAGACTTATGAAGAAATGTAAGGTACACTGCAATTTTTATAATCTCTTCTTTTCTTGGTTAGCCTGAAATCTTCAGCTGAATAGCAATTTGTTCAGGACAATATATGAGTTTTTTGTCATTCAAAGCAATTATTTCTGTGACAACAGTACATGCTTAGCAGAATATATTGCTGATGAATCATTGACTGAAGAACTTGTACTGATTTTATTTATTCTGCCCATTCAGTTGACATAAGCATGAAAGAGTGCATGCTATCTTTATAAAATGCTTATGCACTGCAGTAATTCAGTTGCATTTAGCTGTAGCATCACAAGCTTTGACCTCTTCTAGGTAGGATCAGGTTTATGCCTGCATGAAAAATGACCATCCATAGGGACTGCTCTTTGGTGACATTATAAAGACTCATCTCTCAGTATGTGTTGTGGTTTCAGCTGGAATAGAATTAGCTTCTTTACTGGCAGCTGCTATGGTGCTATGTTTTGGATTTGGGATGAGCAATACTTCAGGTAGTGCCTGGTGGTTTTAGGCAGTCAAGGCCTTTTCTGCTCCTCATATCAGCCCACCTGTGAGTAGGCTGGGGGTGCACGGGATGTTGGGAGGACACACAGCTGGGATGGCTGACCCCAACTGACCAAAGGGCTATTACATACCCTTGTGGTGTCATGCTCAGCTTATACAGCCGGAGGAAGAAGGAGGAAGGGGACGACACTCAGAGTGATGGCATTTGTCTTCCCAAGTTAACTGTTACGTGTGATGGAGCCCTGCTTTCCTGGAGATGGCTGAACATCTGCCTGCCAATGGGAAGTAGTGAATTAATTCCTTGTTTTGTTTTGTTTTGCTTTGCTTCCGTGTGTGGCTTTTTCCTCACTTTTACTTTTCTGATTCTCTCCCCCATCCAAAATGGGGGGAGTGTGCGAGCGGCAGTGTGGGTTAAACCATGACAGTATGGAATCACTGACCCACAGCAAGACTCCCCACACATGTTCATAATTCATGGCCCTGAAATAACAGGGAATGGGGAAAGCAGCAAAGCTGTTAAACTTGTATTTATGTCCCCATGTCCAGGAGGTTAAAAATTCACCACCTGGACTCAAGATAAGGATATCAGCTCAGAGCAGCCAGATTGGGAGAGAAGATGCAGTTCCCCATCCATTGCTTTTAGAAATATGGAAGCAGGTCTCAATAGGTGGAAACCCTTTCATTCATGGAACTAACACTGCATCCGCCCAATTTAAAAAATCAGGTCAAGAGAAAGCCCATGCAGTAAGAAAGGCAAAAAATCTTAATACCATGTGCTAATGCCTCTATGCTACACACAGCAGCTGAGCAGAGAATAATGCTTCATTGTTTACCCAGGTTAAGTTGTTTATCGTATTAAGATGCTTTCCACAGCTTGTGTTTACTGTGGGTGTTACTACTAACCCTCCACCAAAATTCTGCGTCCCTCAGCTCACATCTCTGACTAGTCCTCTCTTCTCAGAGGGCATCCATTTGCACTTAAGTAGCATAATAAGTGAGTCTTGAACAGGGTGGCATTCTGGAGCTGACACTGAAAGGGAGCCTCTTCCAAAAGCTGCACAGTACAATGATTAGGAAAAGCAATGGAAAAGCTTCGTCTCGCAGGAAAAGCTAAGTGGTGCAAGGGCTGCTGCTAAGCTATGAAAAACTTTGGTCTTCCATGATGTTAATACATCTTGCCTGTTGAGAACTCTACCACTCCTGCTGCCTTCAATCCATGCTAGGCTTAGCGTATTTATAACCAAATTCACTGTGAAAAATGTTGATCCTACAAACCCACTCTCACAACCTTATTTTGGGTCAGCGTTCACGCTGCAGAGACACCAGGTACACCAAGCCTGCACCAGTCTTCAGAAGCAGGGTATGCTCTAAACGCCTGAGAAACTGTAATCTAACAAACAGAAGCTGGCTGATACGGGGAGTAAAATTCCTCACTTTGGAAACAAAGTGTGCTCTAGTATTATACATGGGATAACTACGTCCATACATTTGGAATGTCTGTTCTTGAAGCTCAGGAAGAAAGACTTGGCTCTCTAATATGACATGTATGCTAAAACTTCATTTGGCATTGCCTTACCGGAAGGGTGAGAGAGCATGACAAATGTTTACCTCCTGGGACAGGACTATAGCACCTTGATAGCAATGGCCATTTCACAGTAGTAACCCAAGAGCTGAGGACAGATGACCAAACTCCATTTAGAGCTTGTCACACCACACCTTCCTTTAAATCAAAGGGTATGGGACAACTGACAGAAATGTATTTCATTCTGCAGACTGTGTACAAGAGAAAAATTTACTCTCCATCTTCAGACTACAGCGAGAAAGAACACAGTTGTCCTGCCCGTCTCTGAAGTGAGCACATGCTCATACATCCAAATACCCTGCACTGACAGATCGGGCCCCTACTGCCAGACCAACATGATGGACACTTGAGAATTTTTTTTTTGACCCTCTTGCCATAGAAGAGGTGCTTGAAAACAGGCTTCAAGCACTCCCTCACGGCTCTGAGACCAGAAGACACCAGCCTGGAGCCCGCAGGGCTATACCCAATGACTCCGTCTGCTCTTTCCCCAGCCAGACCCCGTTGCCGAGCACAAGCCGGGACTCCCCGCTGCCACCTCCAACCTGCGGCCCCTCAGCCCTGCCGAGGCCGCCCTACCTGTCAGTGCGGCCCCGGGGCGGGACGGCGGCGCGGGCTCTGAGGGGGAGGAGGTACCCCAGCCCTCCCCGTCCCCAACTCTCTGCCGGGCTGTCGCCTCAGGGGGCCGAGGGGACGGCAGCACCCCGGGGAGGGGAGGAAGGCGCTGCCTCCCCTGCCGGAGGCGGGCGGGCCGCGGGCCCCCTCACAGCCCCACCACAGGGCGCTCGCGCCCGCCGCGACCGTTAGCCGACCGTTGGCGCCGCG